TATGAAGCTCAAGTGAATGCAATCCATTCACTTCGGTCAGGTAGACAGGTCGATAATCAAGTGAGAACTCCCCCAAGTCAAACTTTTGATCCAGTACAAATTCCTTCTCCTTCTCCTTCTGATGAATCTATTCAACAATCACTCCCCTCAGATGACCAAGAACCTGAACCCGAACCTGAGCCTGCTTTTGATAGATTTAGACCGGTTGCTCCCTTTCCAGATAGACTCAGGTCTAGGAAACACTCTCCTCAGGAGGAGAAAATCCTAGAGACATTCAAGCAGGTTAAGGTCAACATTCCTCTCTTAGATGTAATTGAACAAATTCCATCTTATGCTAAATTTTTAAAAGAATTATGCACTAAGAAGAGGAGAATAAATGTCCCAAAGAAAGTCTTTTTAGCCGCCAATATCAGTGAAATGCTATCAAATCCCATACCTTTGAAACGTAAAGATCCAGGTTCCCCCATCATTTCATGTATCATTGGTAATACTCACATTGATAAAGCGCTTTTAGACTTAGGGGCCAGTGTCAATTTGCTTCCATATTCAGTCTACCAGCAATTGGGTCTAGGTGTACTGAACCCAACCAAATGCATCTTACAGTTGGCTGATAGATCTGTTAAGGTCCCTATGGGTGAGTTAGAGAATGTTTTGATTAAGGTTGGAGATTTTATTTTTCTAGTAGATTTTATAGTCTTGGAAACACAGCCTGTTTTCAATCCCAAAGGACATACACCTGTCATCTTAGAACGACCTTTCTTTGCCACTTCTAATGCTCTCATCAACTATAAAACTGGTCAAATGAAGCTGTCCTTTGGGAATTTGACTACTGATCTCAATATTTTTAATCCAGGGGACAACTGGTCAAATGAAGCTGTCCTTTGGGAATTTGACTACTGATCTCAATATTTTTAATCCAGGGGACCAGCCAAATAATCAGCCTCTAGAAATAAATTACATTCAGGAAAGATCAGAAGAAGAAGAAGAAGAAGAAGAAGAGTCTGATTTATGTTTTGAGGAAATTTTTGATGAAGAGTTAGAGTTTTTAGAAGAAGCAGATCAGGTCCTTAAAAATAATGAAACTGTGTTAAACATTTGCTGTTTTGAATTAAATTTTGAAGAACTCTTTCTTGATGAACTTAGATTCTTGGAGAATAATCAACAACCAAATTTTCAGAACTCTACAGAAGAATTGGTTGTTAGAAAACAAAACTTCACAGTACAAGAGTCTGAGTTCATTAAGAAATACAAAATGCATGACACCAATAATACCTACCTTACTTTGTTGCAAGAATTATTGAACACCCCGAAATGCTTGGAATTTCACATTATTGATTATATCATTCTAAATTTATTTAAAATCCGGGGAAGAATTTTTAACAATAAGGTAGGATTCAATGTAGAATATGAGCTCTTCGTGTTGAACACTTCATTCTACATTATTTGTTTTGTTTATTTCAGAATAATAAAAAGAATTTATTCTTCTCTCATTCGAGAGTTTCTTATTCAGTTGAAAAAAAAGAAAAAAAACAGAAAAAAACAGAAAAAAAGAAGAGAAAAAAAAGAAGAGACTAATAAAATTTTGATTCTATCCTCCATAGACCAAAGGTAATTGCAGATTTTTATCAGCTGATCAAATATAAGTACTTCACTTCTTATCTACTTTATTTTGTGCATCATAGAGTTTGCATTGAGGACAATGCAAAATTTAGGTGTGGGGGTGGGAATTAGTTAATTTTTCTCTTTGTTTTACATTTTTTGTTGCATTTTTGTCATTTTTTCCTTTTCTAAAAAAATTATAAAAATATCGTCACTTGCCAAATTGATAGAGATATGTAATAATTGATTTATTTGATAAATTTTAAATTTTCTAATCTGTTATTTACTCAAGTTCACCTTTTATGATAACTCTAAATAAAGTTCTTAAGAAATGATTTTCAAAGTAGTATACTTTACTTAAGCCTTAACTTAGATTTTTATTTAAAATAATGGAATGCATGCTTAGCTTAGAGTTAAAAATAATTTTTCAAAGTAGCTTGACTTACATATTTTTTCAGAATATATACACATATACATATAAAAAAAAATTACAAAAAGAAGAGTGCGAAAAATGGGAACAAAAAAAAACTCTTAAATTAAAGGTGATTCTATCTTATAAAGCCTAAGCTGATCGAGTAATTAAGCCCAAAGAGTATTTCCATACTTAATGACCTAAGCTCAATTGGGTTAGGATCCATTGGCCCAAAACTCGTTAAATGGTCGCTTAGAAAGCCCGTTAAAGTAGAAAAAAATCACCAAGGAAGAAAGAGTAAAAGATAATATAAAAAATATAAAAAATAAAAATAAAAACACTAATAAATATTTTATATATGTATATATGGTCTTGGAAAATATTTTAGATCAAGCAACTTGAATATTATTTTAAACAAAGAGTTAGCATGTTCTTTTCAAAACTTTTAAATTAAATTTCTAAGTTTGGCTTGGTTTTGTATTGCTACAATGAGAAGATTTTCTAGGAAATATACCTTAGAGTTATATATAAAAATATTTTCTTGAGTGATAACTGGCTTCAATTAGATTGTCTAAAGTTATCAAGTGAATTTAGTTATTTACTGACTTCTTTAATTTGGCAAGTTGACCGAATTTTGTGGGTATATTCACTGCAAACCCTCACGAGACTACAACTCGTCCACTAGGGTAACCTAGGGGTTTAAAGGCTTGTTGTATACGCTAAATACAACCGCGATTCCTGCGAAAGTGAGTTAGGATTTTCTTTTTATTTTCTTTGCTAGAGGACTAGCAAAAGTTTAGGTGTGGGGGTATTTGATAATCATATTTTATTATAATTTTATACCCTCATTATCTATTTTATATAAATAAATATAGCACTAATAATTGTTTTTATCTTTAAATTGCAGGTTAATGAAGAATAAATCTCAAAACCCTCATCTCTCAACAAAAAGCCTCCGCCGTTCATCCGCCGCCGCCGCCGTTCATCCACCGCCGCCGCCCATCTCTCCCCCTCTCTCTCAAGGTATATATTTTTCTCACCCCCCTCAATCTCTCTCTCTTTTTATACTGTTAACATTTGGGCATGGGTATCTTTCTACCTTCAAATCCATGATATCGAAAACCCTCTTCCAAGATGATTTGGCGAGGTAGCACAGCTACAGTCAATCACTAGGAAGGGGGCTTTCATGCAGATGAATAGGTCATTAGATTCCCCTACTGTTAGCCTGTGCATGGATTTGAGGGAATTAATGGCAATTTCAATGATTTGATAGCTTTCAAAATGCCTTTTTTCATGTTGTTTTTGGTTCTAATTTCTGAGGGTTATCTGCAAAAATGCAGAAATTTGGGGTTTTCTGCAATATCAAAAGTTATTGGGGGTTTAGTGAGATTTTGAAAGTTATTAGGGGTTTGCTGCAAAGTGCTGAAAGTTATTGGGGTTTAGTGTAATTTACCTTTTAGATTCGTGTTGCCAAACACGCTAATCCTAAATGATTTGGCGAGGTACCTCAGCTGCAGTCAATCACTAGGAAGGGGATTTCATGCAGATGAATGGGTCTTTGGATTTATCTACAAAAATGAAACTACAGGGTCGTAAGTTCAAAATAGTTTGAGGGTTAAGGATATGGTTAGGGTTAGGGGAGGGTGAAGGTGAGGGTGAGGGTTAGGGTTGGGGTTAGGCGAGGGTTAGGGTTAGGGTTTGGGTTAGGATTAGGATTAGAGGAGGGTTAGGTGAGGGTAGGGGTGATGGTGAGGGTTCGGGTTAGGGTTAGGGTTAGGGTTAGGTGAGGGTGGGGGTGAGTGTTAGGGTTAGGTGATCGAGGGTGGGGTGAGGGTGAGGGGTGAAGGTGAGGGTGAGGGTTAGGGTTGGGGTTAGGCGAGGGTTAGGGTTAGGGTTAGGGTTAGGGTTAACTGTGAATGATCCCTTGTACTAAGGGTTAGGGTTAGGGTTAGGTGAGGGTGGGGGTGAGTGTTAGGGTTAGGTGATCGAGGGTGGGGTGAGGGTGAGGGGTGAGGGTGAGCGGATACGGATCCTCTCCTAATGAGAGGGTTCCTAATATCTCCTAATGAGATCTTGGCCTTTGATTTATCAATCAAAGGCCAATATCTAGGCCTTATCTCCCGCCTACTTTTGTGCATGAGGAGATCTTGGCCTTTGATTGATAAATCAAAGGCCAAGATCTCATTAGGAGATATTAGGAACCCTCGATTCATTAGGAGAGGATCCCAATTCGTTCTCCGAGTACACTATAGTACACGGAGAACAACGAGTAAGCGCCGCCAACAATCCTGTATGCGTATGTGACAAGTAAATAAAGAGATTATATATAGTATTTATTGGACGGGGTATTCTACGGCTCGAAAATATGAGTGTACAGTGTGTGCAATTTCCCCCTGTATCGGATTTAGATCTTTTGCACTAGCGTATGACAGTTGAGAGAAGGAGCAGAACACACCGCTGTTTTGCGTTTGTCGTCTCTCTTCGAGACCGACGATGTTAAACCTAAAGCCGTTGACACAGTAGCCTCCATAATGCTTAACCACATTAGAAGGACCTCTGGCATATAAACAAACTTTCTCAGACAGGTTAATCCCATTCGTAATCCGTTTGTCAACCTTAAGAAAAGAATCAAATAGTTTACATATCTGTTGGCAGGCACATATATTTGATATACGAATCAGAAATGTAAAAAGATCTTACTTCACCCTTCAGCCATGCAGGGAATTGTCTAGAGTGTGTGTCCATAACTCTCTTATTTTTTGTTCTGCATTTAAGATTAGTCTGGACATGTCGGATGTGAAGCCTAGACAAGAAGCATTTATAACGGTTAAATAGAGATAATTATTGTGAGGTGATCTAATCTGATTCAAACAGTTAAATACTTACGCCGCGTATATGTTAAATGTAGTATCATTGCTCAGGATATATGTGTGGGCTTGATCTAGCTCCATTCTGGGGAATCTAGTATCCTCCCCACGATCATTGTAGAATGTACCGAAGGGGAGAACTCGGGCATTTTGCAGATCGTATTCTGACTGGTTGGAGACCAAATTACGCCGATGAAGTGAAGAAAGCGCAGAACCGGGATCTGGCTGTAAGTAGCAGTTAATTTGTATATTTAATTTTTATAACAATGCATTTTAAATGTGTTAGAATTGACCGGGTTGTTTTGGTATATCGTAGGAGAAATTACATGCTAAGGTGCAGGAGCAATTATCACAGACTCAGGTCGATTCTAACACTCCGACCCGATTAAGTAGAGAGGAGGAGGATAGCATCATCGAGACCGTCATTGGACCGAGTAGGAAGAACAGATACAGGTGGAGAGGATCCGAGCATCGGCCGTACGAGTCCAGTAGCACCTACGAGTCTGCAGCTCCACCAGGATGCAGTTCTTCTCAAGACCCGACTATGGAGCAGCGGATGAAAGCGATGGAAGATTGGCAGTCGCGTCGGGAGTCGGAGCTACTCCAGATGGCGGAGGAAGAACGGAGGCGCCGGGAGCAGAGGGAGCTGGAATTCACCCAGTTCATATCGACTCTGCCTTCTGATGCTCAGGAGGCATATAGGAGACGGTTTTTGGCGGATCAGGTAATATATATATATATATGTATATTTCTTTTTTAATTAAATGAATTAAATATAAAATTCTTACTTAGTTACGAGTATGCCATGTGACTAAATGATATCACACAAACTGTTACACACAAACTATATCTCTCTCCGAAACACAACTAAAATTATATACTTAATGTTTTTATGTGATGTTGGTGTTGATGGTGCGTGTGTGCGTAGCGATGGTTGTATTGTCTAGTGAGTTGGTTAGTTGGTTGTTATTTTATTTTGTTGTGGGGCGTTCGTGCGTAGGGTCGTTGGTTATGTTGTTGGTTGGTGGGTGTTTTCGTCGTGGTGGTGGTGGTGGTGGTGATGATGATGGAGGGGGAGGGGGTGGGGGGTAGGAGTTTGGTTGGTTCGTGGGTGGGGTTGGGGGATTGTTATTGTGGTGGTGGTGGTGTTATTATTGTTGTGTTGTGGTGCCGCATGCAGATGTATTGTCGTGATTGTTATGTGCGTGCTTGATGTTGGGTTTGGTCGTGGTGGGGGAGGGGGAAGTGTGGGGATTGGGTTGAGCTGGGTACTCGTGCGTGCGTGTGTGCGTGTCGGTGGAGATAGGTACGGGTGCGTGCGTTGTTAAAAACATGTGCATGCTTGCGTATAATACATAAATATATGCCATGATACTCTCTCTGAATCATATAACATGTAAGAATATGCCATGATACTCTATTATTGCTATACTTGCATGTTATGCCTTGTTGTTTTATAATTTGTTACTTTACTGTAAAATTCAGTTTTTGATGATGTACGTATTGCTCTATAACGTTTTATTTATTTTTTTAGGCTGGGACTTCTCGACAAGGTGGAGTTGGTGATGAGGATGAGGATGATGATGATCGGGACTGAGTTTATTTGTTTTAACATTAAAAACAATGGGTGTGCTGTATAAACATTTCTAATGTTGGGATATTCATTATGTTTTTAGTGAAATAATTGTTATATATGCGTGAAATATGTGTTATATGTGCTTGTGTTGTGTAAATTTGTTGTACAAGTTATTGTTGTGAAATATATTGTACAGGAATTTCTTATTTTCAAAATTTTTTTAAAAAAATTCAGATTATTTTTAGCGACGGATATTCCGTCGCTAAAAGCTCTTTTAGCGACGGAAAACTGACACGCCAGATGTGCACTAAACAACTTTTAGCAACGGATTTTCCGTCGCCAATATATATTGGCGACGGAAATTCCGTCGCTGAAAGCTAATCTGCCGTGTCAGTTTTCCGTCGCTAAAAGTTATTTTAGCGACGGAAATTCCGTCGCTAAAAATGGACAGAAACTTTTTTAAAAATTTTGGCGACGGATTTTCCGTCGCTATATATCCGTCGCTATAAATTAGCGACGGATTTGCCGTCGCTAAAGATGGATTTACCTACCCTGACAATAGTGACAGATTTTTAGCGACGGAATTTCTTTTTTTCCGTCGCTAAAACTTTTAGCGACGGATTTTGGACTTTTGGCGACGGATTTGTCCGTCGCCAATAGTCCCCTTTGCAGTAGTGGATCAAGCAACTTGAATATTATTTTAAACAAAGAGTTAGCATGTTCTTTTCAAAACTTTTAAATTAAATTTCTACGTTTGGCTAGGTTTTGTATTGCTATAATGAGAATATTTTCTAGGAAATATACCTTAGAGTTATATATAAATGTTTTCTTGAGTAATAACTAGCTTCAATTATCAAGTAAATTTAGTTATTTACTAACTTCTTTAATTTGGTAAGATGACCGAATTTTGTGTGTATATTCACTGTAAACCCTCACGAGACTACAACTCGTCCACTAGGATAACCTAGGGGTTTAAAGGCTTGTTGTATGCGCTAAATACAACCGCGATTCCTGCGAAAGTGAGTGAGGTTTTTTTTTCATTTTTTTTTCTTTGCTAGAGGACTAGCAAAAGTTTAGGTGTGGGGGTATTTAATAATCATATTTTATTACAATTTTATACCCTCATTATCTATTTTATATGAATAAATATACCACTAATAATTGTTTTTATCTTTTAATTGCAGGTTAATGAAGAATAAATCTCGAACGCCTATCTCTCAACAAAAACTCATTGTTTAAATGAAGAAATGAAGCCATTGGAAAATCAATTTCCAAATTATCCAAAAGCCCAGAATGAAGTCGTGTAGCCTGTAGAAGCCGGAGAAAATCAAAAATCCAATATGAAAAGAAATCATATTCAAAATGGTTGGCCACAAAGAAACGACGATATCTCCTAAGAATTTGGATATAGTGGGTATCGATGTCGGCATCGATGTGGGCATTGATGCTGGCATCGATACCAGCATCGATGCCTTTATCGATGCCAGTTTACTGTAGCGCAAGTCAATGGCTGATTTTGCTTTTCTTAGGGCTCAAGTTTGATCCAAGGGCTCTCATTCATTGATGTTTACTATAAATAGGGGTAGAGAGTGAGGGGTTAGAGGTGTGAAAATTTTTATAACTCCTTTTGGAGAGGAGGGCTACTCTTAATTGAGAAGACCTTCTAAATTTGTAACTTTTTGTTATAATTAATAATAATAATTTTGTCACCACTTTAAATATTTCTTCTCTTTGTTGGATGATGAAGATGAAGATGAAGAATTATTTAGAGGTTTGCATTTCTTTTCTTTTTCTCTTTTATTTCTTTTTTATTGCTTATTAGTTTAGATTTATTTCTATGCTTATAGTTAGATTTTATTTTCTTGTTAAATAGCCAAGAGACTAGAACCCTCTTGCCTTAGATTTATTTCATGCTTATAGATTAGATTTATTTCATGCTTATAGAGTAGATTTATTTTTTTGTATTTAATTCTTGTAATTTATTTTGTAGTTTAGATTTTGCAATTCATTTTGTAGTTAGATTTTAATTTATTATACTATTCACCTTGAGGCTAGACCCTCTTGGGTTTAGTTTTTCTTTTTGTTTATGTTTATTTTGTTTAATTCGCCTTTAGGCTAGAACCCTCTAGGGAATTACCCTTTTCTAAAGAAGTGGGTTCGATTTTAGATCACCCATATCTATAATTGAATCCACCATCTTTAATTTCTTGTATTTTCTTTTATTCTTGAATTTTATTTTTTTTATTCTTGATTTTCATTTGTTTCTCGATTTTATTCATTCTTGCCTTATTGATCACATTCATTCTTTGTCACATCCACTCTCACTTACATTTTGCGCCTATTTACGCACCATTTTCATCTCTCAATCTCTTCACAATCACATTCACTCATCACTCCTATTTGTCACGCACACAACATAAGAACCGATTTTATATTTTCTCCTACAAAACACCTTCCTCGTTGATCGATATCTTTATACTATAACTTGACACGGTTGTGCACTTGCAACATTTTTGGTACATGTTTTATGCCGCATCAGTCGCCATCTATCAGTCTTAGTAGCTGAAGCTCCACTATATAGTTATGTTCATTGTTCAGACTTTATAGTTATATTCTTTTTGTAGAGGCTGAGTACCCTAGTGAGGTTTCATTTGACTCATTGTGTTGAGATGTATTTCAGACTCAGGGATATTTTCATTCTATTTCAGCTGGCTTATTTATTGATATACTTCTTCTGTGCATTTCTGATTTTGTACTACTTCTATTATTTGCATATTTTGTACCTTCACCTATTTGTTGATTCCACTAGAGAGATAGTGACTGTGATGGTGAAACATGTTATAGCATGATATTCGGTGCTTGACAGGTTTGACAATCCGGGTTTTACCTTGGACTGCAGCCTTGTGTGAACCCTGGGGCGTCACAATCTTCCTTTTTGCTATACTTATATGCTGGTTGCTAAGGTCATGGTACGCTGTTAAGTATTAATGTATTTTTTTACTTCTACAGGACTATCCCGACAGAAAATTCCCGATGCGAAGCTACCATACTCACCCAAACATGTAATGATGAGCGTATTCCTAATGACAATCCTACTGGCGATTCGATCATACTGTTGGAAGATATGATTAACAACCAAACCAAGATCCCAGCTGAGTGGCACACAACCATACGTGAAATTTGTTAGAAATTTGATAGTGCTGCTGATGTTAGATTAGCACTTCAATACTATTCAATTGCGAAAAGGTTCGAGTATGATTTTTACCATAATGTACAAAGACATATAAGAGTCTATTGCCGATTCAATCACACGCATGGTTGCCCTTGGAGGTTATTTTCTTCCTCACTCAGAAATTCATCGATTATATCTATAAAAGATTTTTGTTCTACCCACACTTACGGTCAACATGGAGCTAATGTTGGCAACTCAAGGGCATCAAGAAAGTTCATTGCAGACCAAATACAATCTATTTTGAAGGTTAGGCCAGATCTTCGTACAGTTGATATTAAGAATGACATGCTCTCAAATTATGGCATGAAGATTAACTACAATAAAGTGTGAAAAAGCAAAGAGAGAGCTCAACTGGACCTGTTCGGTGAAGATGATGTGGCTTACGATTCACTGAGATGCTACATTCTTTTATTCCTATGTTTTTGTTGTGAAGGTTTAGTATTAATTGCTAACCTTATGTGTTAGTTGTGAAGGTTATGTATTGGTTGCTAACCATACGTGTTAGTTATTAAGGTTTTTGGTTGGTTGTTGAGTATACTCGTTGGTTGTTAATGTTAAAAATTAGTAATAAGGGTTATAAATCTGTTGCTAAAGTTACTACTTTGTTGTTATATTTATGCAGGTATTGTAGGCGTCTAAAAATGCCTGTAGGTTCCCGAATATGGCTCGAGATGAAGAGGTGGCGATAAATGTCATCATCCAAGTCGAGAAGGTTTATTTGAGTGGCTCGCATATTCATCGGCCACCGTCAAGTAACCCGTACACTCACCATCCACCGTCGAACGATCCGCACGTTTACGAAACACGCAAAGCGAATCGAGGAAACTTACAGATCAACGAAACAACGAAATACGCGTAACGACGGAATAAGTCAAAACCCGAAAAACCAATAAAAGCCGCTGGCGGCCGAGTCACATCAAAACGACTCGGTCGAACCAGTGGTTCGGCCCAAAGCCAGATCACCAGAAGGTGACTCGGCGGTTG